CCAAACCGGTACCTGAAATACAGACTGACACCCTGACTTGTTTAGCAGTTTAATGTATGTTGACTAGTTACCCAAGACCAGCTGGACTGTGTGGCCAGTCTGTCTAAGTAAATATGCCAAGTATGTGACCCAGACTATTTTCGTCCTACTCCGGTACTTTGGCTCGGCATTGTACAACTACCTGACAAGCGCCTTTTCTAAGCAAAGCACGTGCCATAAAAGAGCCAGATGTCTTCGAGGGCGATGAGAAAGCTCCATGGAGACCGCAGTTTGGATGAATTGCGGAGCCGTCATCAACTTGTTGATGAAGATGTGGGTGATGGTGATGATGACGAAGATGCGAGGATGAATGGAGTAGCTGCCGTTCCCATCAACCTGTTTGATTTGGTCCGTACTAGTTTAGCTGTTTTAAAAAACAATAATTTATCGATAAGAGTTATTCTTGAACTAAAACTTAAGAGGGCACAATTGCAGAATACCCCGCCACTCACCTTTCCCACATCGTAGCCACGGATACGGAGTCATGCTTCCATCCACAAGGCCCACATCGCGTAGCTGCTCCCTGGGACCCACATTGGACTTGGGAAAATTCTTCTGCCTTCCCCATTCACTTTGCGTTGCAGGATGCAAGGCACACTTCATATCCCCATATCTGCTTAGCCGCTCAGTCCCCAGAACCCACATTGGACTTGGGAAAATTCTTCCGCCTTCCCAATACTTCGTTCTCAAGAATGACTTCAATGCTGTACACAACGCGTACCTTGACACAGCAAGGATAACCCGAAGTCAAACAACATCCACTTGACTACCTAGCCATGGATTTTTAGGGGATGTTTCCGCGTGGCAGGGTATTCTGCAATCATTCCTAGAAGAGGTGCCCTTTTAACTCTAGAAGTGGACAATAATCAATTACATTTACTCACTTCATTTTCCTGACCTAGTAAGTTAGAGTAAAACTTAATGTTTGGATGTCGTATTGAAGTTGTAATGTTAGTCCATGGAGGTCAAACCAGATGGTTAGTTGAAATTGAAACGGGGGCTGGTTACAGTGCATAGGTTTGGGGAAAATAGTGGTGTTTTCAAAAAAGGTTTTGTTGATTGTGTACAAAGTCAAAATATACCTGTATGCAAATATTTATGGTTTATTGGGTCATGAGAAACTCTTATGTTATATCCCAAAGGCCAAATTGCGCATGATTCACAAATTAACAATGATAGAGGAATATCTAAGTTACTCAAAAATTATACATAAAATCAAATTTTAAAGGGATATTGCATTTAAGAACTGAAATATTATATCTGTATATAGTGAGAAAGGTAGCATCAAAACACCATGAATGACTTAACCACTGAAGTCGTATGTTGTGTGAAAAGTACCTTGGGGAAGCTGCCTTCTTTTAGTACTTGTCTTGAGAACTGTTTCTCCTACTTTTGAATTGAAACCAGTGCATTCATCTCAGGTAACATTGTCATCTGTGAAACAGTTGCAGGAAGATGATCATGAGGATGGGAGTGACAGAAATGAGAGAGGTGCCTCATCTTCTCCAGGAGACCAGAAGCCACTGAGACATGAAACAGCCCCAGGGGCCAAGAGAAAGAAGAAGAGAAAAAAAAAGAACAAGCAAAGCGACGTCGAGACCAAAACACAGGACGCGCCTGAAAATGTACGTAGAAGTGTAGAGCTTGTATTTCCATCTGAGATTAAACACAACTGTTCTGTCCAAAGTTCAAGTGTGGCATCTGTCCATTCCCGGGAAGATTCTGGTTGTTAATTTTCATTTAATTCAGTGCAGTAATTTATATTCATTTAAATTAAAATCAAATTGTCTCTTGAAAATGCTTGCCTCATTGCCGGGAACACATTGAAAAATTTGGAAAACTGCCATTGTAAATCACGGAGGACTGTTGATGGTCTTAACATTTTTCCTAACGGGGACTCTTTAGTTTACAGAGTTGGTTCTTCCTCATATTTGTGACTTTTGTCCCTATTTTGTGCCTTGACAATTCCATCCCCATTTTTCTTGAGATTTAAAAACAAACCTTATTGCTAACCAAACCTTTTGCCATTTCTAAGACCTTGACTTTGTCTCAAGTTCTAGAGCTCTGAACTGTAATTTGTTTGCTTTTAGGGTCTAAAGTGAATGAAATTACTCCAAATGGGGACTCTACATTAAGTTGGGTCATTCTATAAATTAGGGGTCTGTTTTTGTCATGTCCCTGTCACATCTGACTATGATTTTTAAGTTCAGAACAAATTCTTTAATTTCCAAGAGTGATGAATTAATGCAAATTACCTGCCAAACAACTAGAAATAGTTTGAAAGCAATGCCGGTGATGTGACCATGTCAAATTACACAGTTTAAGTGTAACAGGACTCAAAAATGTCACACTTTTGGACCTCAAATTTACAGAGTGACCAAGTTATTCCCTTTTAGAAAATTGACAAATTTTAATATCAATATTTGGAAAGTCAGGACCCTAAACTCATCTAGCCAGCATTTGACTCAAGATGAACTCAAGGTTTACCAATGCTATTTGGAAGATTTGCTAGCGTTGACATTTGACCCTTGCCATAACAGGAAGATGAAATTGATGCTAGTGTCAGGGAGGTAAACGCCATGCTCGGGACTTTGCCCAATGGAGGGGCGGGGCAGATCACCGTCAGTGCCTCTGCTGTAACCATGGAAACCAAGGCAGTGCTGGCCGTGGAACACAAGAACCTCAATGCGGATAACGAAATGAGGAGGATCTTTGGTTCAAACGTCGTCCGGCAAGCAGAGCAAAGGTGAGAGGGAAATCTCGGTGGCCTTGTTGAGCAGCCGCTATGTGTCCTGCATGTCGAGCTTCAAGGTGCAAAAGTTGGAAGGCAAATAAACATCAGTGTTGCAGATGAGGCTGTTCCAAACCACAACACCCCAAGAGACCAACACAAGACTTCCCGTCAGAATTTAAGTCACAAGCTTTTCAAATGAACTGCAATTAATGCAGTCCTTTGTCGCTATTCAGCCTGTCACTTATATTTACAAATTGGTCATTTGGGAGACATTTTGTGGTAAAATTTTCAGTATTAAGGAGACATTGGCTTTTAGGGAGACATTTCAGTGTCTCCCTATTTTCAAACTACCAGAAGGAGGCCAAATTTTACTGTCCAAATTTTGAGAGATGATAGATTAGGGTCTTAAATGAAAACGTACAAAGTTTGGTTCAGATCAGATTAGGGAATATTGAATTATGGGACAGTAAAGTTGGAAAAATTTTGTGCACGTTCTTATGGGAATGTCTCCCTAATGACGCATTAGTAGTAATTATTTCTACTGGTCTATCACGACTTCAATACTGAAAAAAAATGGCCCTGAAGCACTTTGTGGAAAATGCCTCATAATATGAAAATTGTGGGATGCCTAAAATTCAGGGGTGGGTGATAAAGTTTGAAAAGGCTGAAACTGTAAATAATGGAATTAAATGTCAAACAAGTCTTTGTTAGTTTGGAAGAATGGAGACTTTAAAAAATTGACTCGGTTAAAAGTGGGAACAAAAAGAAGCTGTGGAGATTTGGGGGGGCAGCTTGACGGGGATTTGCAATTTGTAGAATGTCACCTGTCTATATCTTACAAAACAGGAGAAGAGGAAGGCGTAAGACGTATCAGCGATCAACTTGGCTCGTGAGCCCCAAAGCGGAATGGCCCAACATTGGAAAGACGGGTTAGTTACCTTTTGCCAGTTTTGTCTTGCAGTTTCCATTGACCTGGTAAATGAGCGTTCTGAGCCATTCTTTCTGTTCCCTCTTCTCTGAAACAGGATTATCCATGAAACGACTTGAAATAAAAGGCGGGTAAGCTAACCAACCTGTTTACTTCGAGCTAATTAATCCTAACCCTCCCAAAGTCCTTCAAAATCTTCTTGGCATGAGTGAAGGGTTTTGAAGGATGTAGGCTGGAGCCAATTTCTACATTGAAGCAGTTGGGGATTTTGTGGTATCTGGGTGGCATCATCACTGTTGAAGTCAAGACCGTCACAAGGCCAGGTACAAGTAACGGTGCAAACAACAAAGGGATTTTTTTTTTTTTTGTTCACTTGAATAACTGTGGCTTGAAGTCAGATTGGAGGTCCTGTGTTGTCTTGTGATGGTCCTAAGAGGTCTTGAATTCAGCTCAGTTCATCATGACAAAAAGGCCATGGGACTTAGGGTTTAAAATATTTCTAAACTCCTGAATGCCATATTGAACATATTGACCATAAAACAATGGTTATATTCAAGGCTGAGATAAATTATCACTTATTTTTCCATTGACAGGTATCAGTCCTTTACTCTGGAACACTCAAAGGACTACCAGCAAGTCCAGTTCCAATTTCTAGATGCAGTGGAATCACTCAACCCTCAGAACCTAACGGTAATTACCCTTTAATGTTGTCAGATGATTTATTTTGTGTTGGTTGAATGAATTTGTTTAGCCCACAGCTGTCATAAAAAACACTTCATAGTGCATCACATGGTGAGAAATCCTCTGAACTCACACCATCGGTCATACAATTTTTGAAAGTTAATTCAATCTTCAGTGGTGATGTAAGCAAGGATTGTTCGTCAGTGGGAAGGCACCAGAGCCTGACAATCCCTTGAGAGATGAAGAGTAGAGAAATACACATCCTGAGCTTGTCAAGATTTGACGACTGGATAAAGATTGTATGTTAACGTTAACAATTCTATGTTTCCCAAGTTATCGTTTCTTTTGCTCTTCTTTGGATTTCCAGTCCTTTAATACCACGGTCCTCGTTACAAAATGGGAGATTGGCTCTTCTCTGCTACCGCGGTATACCTAGAGTTGACTACATTCAAATGTGTTTTATATATATCCTTTGAGTATCTAATGTATTGCTTCTTGGTTGTTGGCATGGCGATGTAGATCTTGCTTCAGATGCATCCTTACCACATAGACACCCTCCTGCAACTCAGCGAAGTCTGCAAAATGAGCGAGGACAGACAGATGGCAGCTGAGCTTGTCGGTGAGTCACATATCATGATCATGTCTCCTGCTTAGGGACACTACAGGACCTATAGACAAGGCCCCTGACTTCTTTGCCGCGTTTGCGCTTGCCACTCCCAGTACGTATGATTTTGAGATGTTACATGCGCATTGCTCTCAGATCACTTCGCAGTAGTGGTCAGTGCTTGTTTTCTGGCTCTTGCAAAATGGCTGTCCCGTATTTATATTTGTAGTTAACTTGCTGTGCTTGTTTCTTTTAGATTATAATGTAGCGTTCCACTTTTCTTTAGTGTTTTATCTGACTTAAGAACAGATAGCACTACAAGACTTTTTTCCGTTTGTGTGCCAAGTTTGTTGAAAACATATGCAAAGACGTTTTCAAATTTTCTTTCACTGTCAAATACGGCAAACTATCCAGAGGTCATTTCAAAAGTCAAAGGTTAACAAAAATCACACTAGGTAAATGTCTGAAAATAATCATGTGATGGAAGAATATACTCCCAGTTTGATCAAGAGTACTCACTTGCACACTCATGAGTCACACTTGTGTCATTCGTACACTCAGGCATATAGGCGCTTTGCGTGGTAGCCATCTTGCAGGGCAGTTCTTTTATTCTGCAGGGAAGCCTCCTTCGTGCGTGCCCCGTGGAACAAAAGCACTGGCCTGCAAGATGGCAGCCATGCAAACCCTCTAGACTCACGTCAACATGAAGTGGAAGTGGTTGTTAGCAGCCAGCCAGTGGCTTCCATAGGCATACATGTTATTTCCAGCCACAGCCACAACATTGGGAGGCAGCCTTTGTACGTACATGTACTTGTTTTGATCACTTGTTTTGACTAGAGAGGGCGCTGTACAGCATCGAGTGTAGCTTCCACACCATGTTCAGTTTGACACAGGGCACCTGTCGGCTGGACTACCGGAGGGTGGAGAACAGGGCATTTTTCTTGGCCCTGTTCAGGCATGCAGTGTTTGTGGGTCAGAGAGGGGCAAATCGTACCGCCCTGGAACTTTGTAAGCTAATCTTAAGGTTAGTTTTAGAACCAATAATGTGTTTTCTTTACCCTTCCAGTCTAGGCAAATTTAATTATTTCAAAATCTTTCATTGAAAAAAGCACTTTGCAAACATCTGAAAAGTGTTAAAGTTTCTCTCATATTTTTGGCCTCTGTAGGCTTGTCTGAATGAATATCAACACACAATCAACTGACAGGTATTAGAAACTAGTGATAAGGAAAAGACATGCTTGATATTTTATTAAGTTTTATTCGGTTTGGTCAGGGATGAATCCAGGTTTGACTGAAGAGAGGGGTTTAGCCATCAAGAGGGAGGTGAAATCGGCATCTGTTATTGTTTGCTTTTCATTTTCCTGTTTTGGCGGCTAAGGAGTAGGAGCGAGGTTGAAACTTTCAACCTCGCTCTCACCAGCCTCCCCTCCTCCCTCCCTCCCCTCCCAAGCTGCGAGTGCAGGTTTATTTCAGCCGAAATACCCACCCACGAATGGCAAACCCTAACATTGCAACAATTGATCCGTGCGCTGGAGTCACCTCTGTCTGTGATGTCCTCATTTCAGTCTGGACCCAGACACCGATCCCTTGGGCATCTTGCTGACGATTGACCACTACGCGCTGAGGTCGGAGCAGTACCAGTGTCTGATCAGAATGTATGACGAATGGGAGGTAGGTGCTGTCAGCGGGGAGATCGGTGCTGCGCCATGTTTAACACAGTAATCTTAAGCGTCACAGTCCTGCAGAGATGTGCAGTAGACCTTGCAGATGCCTAAAGTGATAATCGTCGCCGGTGTGATCTGTACTTTACTTGGTGAACGAGATGCAGCTTACAATGAGCTGTCTGTTCCTTGATGTTATCAGGCCAGCATTTCCTCCGTCTTCCTTTTTGTTCTCCTTCGTCAGTGCCATAAAATACTTTTTACTAAATACTGTACTCCTTTTTGAGTACAGCAATTAGTTAAAAGAAGCAATATTTTTAAAATTTAATTTCCTTCTCAACATGAATGTGCCTTCTTATTGGTTTTTTTTGGTATAAACCTGAATGGCACGGTATCATTTTTTGTGCAAGTTGAGTCAGATATGTGATCTTCAAGGCATTACAAAATTAACCATACTCATCAGGGTAATGACAAAAGATGCCTTTGGTCATGGGTAAACAGATTGTATGAAACCATGCTATGAAACCATTATCCGATAACGTTGGTTCCCTGACCACCAGTGATACTGTGACTAGAATGGATATTTCATACTATCGTCATGGGATTTTTGCTTAATGTCAGTCCTCTATCATCACTGATCATCAATGCGGGCGATTCACAATAGTGCGCCACCAAGAGTTTGCAATGCATTGGCCAATCATAACGCGCCAAATTTGTCGGCCCTTTCCAAACATGCATTGGGTCGACAAATTTCGGGCATTGTGATTGGCCAACGCGTTGCAAACTCTTGGTGGCGCACTATTGTGAATCAGCCATATTCTCCCTTTCTCCCATGTGCTTTTCCTGCACCAGGCACACAAGAATCTCTCCCAGCTACCCAACTTTGCTTTCAGCCTGGCCCTGGCTTACTTCCACAGCAGCCAAGATGGCGACACCACCAAGGCTGACGCCATGCTGCAGACCGCTCTACTCATGTACCCCTCGGTAAAAAAAACCTAGCATCGTCTTGTCATATGTTTCAGCTGTGGTCCATATAGATTAATGGACCCGCAGGGAAATAAACATATTTCTGTCAGGTTGGAGCATGCCAGTGCTACTTTTGTCGTGAGCCAACGATCAGGTGCTTTTGTCTCATGAATGCATGCACTGAGTTGGCGTCAAATAAGTGTAAATCACTTGTGCTCAAAGCATGCTGATTTTTTGTGGGGCTTGAGTTAGATGAGTAGGAAGCATACCTACCAACTTCTGATTTAATCAGAATTGTCTTGACTTTAAGTTTTCATACCGCAAAAATTGGAACGTTCCGATCTGCGTAAAAGAAAAAAGTTTTTAAAAAATCAAACAGTTCCTGCAAAAGAAGGCACTACTGCAGAAAAAAGAGGGCGCTATTTGCCGGAAAAGAGGGCGCTGTCTGCTACCTCAAAATGGCAGTTGTAACACATGCATGAGTGTACAGTGTATTGTAAATAGCTTCTCTCACTGGCTGCTTGTTGTGCTATGGGCTTGGAAAGTGGTCGTTGCGATTTCTGACTTTTCAATTTTGTCAGGTATGAGAAATCAGTGTACATGTATGCTTATGATGCGCACTGTTATTGCTCTTGTGGGTAGTCAGTGCACAGTTTCCAGACTGCCGAAGTACAGCATTATTATATGTTGCGTGTATATTAAGATTGTATATTGTATTTATGGGATGTTATCATAGCCCGATAATTATTACAGGTTTTTCTGTTTTATGACCTGGGCCCAATGCAAGATTTAATCATCAGTGATGTAAAAGTGAAATAGAAATGCCATATGAGGACAGGTATCGTTCTTTCGTCAAGCTAATTATTGGATGACAGTTTGATCTCTTGGAATCCATTCTCAGACGTTGATGCCTCTCCTGGACAAGTGTAGCATTCAACCGGATGCTACGGCCAAGAAACATTCGTTTTTCTCTGCTCTGAGCCACTGCAAGTAAGTCTCTTCAATGCCAGCATATCGTGAGTGGTGTGTTTGTTGGTTTGCTTGTCTGTGTGTCTTATTCTTGTGTCCTCTCTCGCTTGTAGCTGGTCTTCCTCTGTTTTGAGGGTGAGCCCGCTGCAGATCCTTACTAGTCCACGTCAAGTCAATCACAGGTTATCCCATCCCAAGCCAAGTCATAATGAATGGCAGCAAAGCCTTCTCTTTTCGCTGTTCATCTTACCAGACATGTGATTTGACTTGTGATCGACTTCCAATAAATTTTCTCAGTGGCCAAACTTGTAATGGAGTTGTCATGGTTTCCACCACAACCCTAAATTATATTCCATGCTAATCGTCAGCCGAACTTGGCAGTCAGATTTCCACTTTTATTCCATTTTGAATAACTTCTTGCTACTTTTTTTTTAACCATTGACCTGCGTTCTGTGCTCCTATATTTTTGGGTAACTTGGCCTTCTTTGTTGTTTTAACCACTTGCTGCCGGGGGACCCGTTTTCGAGCACATAGGCTTTATACACGAAGCCGGGGAGCCCAAACTGAGACAAAGAGCTGGGCCTTGTAACAAAAGACTGTGCTTGGCACAAAAGACTGAGCTGGGCATTACCGACATTTTTTCACTCTCAATAGTGGAGATAATCCAGCCTTGTTTTGAAACAGTATACCGCGGTTTGAGGTATTTAGAGTGAGCGGATTACCACCGGGGACAAAAGCTCTCCACCACTGCAGCGATGAGCCACACAGCACCGCTGCACACTAATCTGGCCCCTATTGAAAAGAGGTCAGCAGCGCACTGTGCCAGGTTCATGAACAAAAGAAAGTTATATAACACCGCACAATCTGGGCTCTTTTTACAAGGCTGCAGGCCTGGCTGAAATATCGGGCGTCAGTAGATTTTGTCTGTCAGGCTACAGTGGCCATCAGACAGTAATTCATGTCGGTGTAAACGTACATTAATTGAAATGATGAATTTTTGAAAACTGAAAATCTTGAAATTCGCCCGTAGGTGTGCACCGCATGTTTCAAACCACCCGGCAGCATGTGGTTAACCCCTGAGGTGTTTTGAGGTAAATACAAAAAGTAAAAAGGACTAGGCGTTGTTACATTTTGGTTGCTTTTTGCTGAAGTACTCTGGGCAGATTTAATCAGCCATGAGCAAAGTTCAGATGGACTTGTTTGAACGGCCTTCATCTGTAACTGTCTCCAGTCCTCAAGTTAGCTCGCATGCCTGGTGGTCTTCGTCTCTCCTGGCCTCTGACCTTCAAGCCCAGTCAACTAAATACTGTCTCATCTAAATAATCAACATTCCGTCTCTTTCTGTCCACAGCCAGCCAGCAGCCCTCAACCAGCTGATAGCTCTCTACATCGGCCGGAACTACGCCATGTGGAAGGTGCCAGAGGTCATGAAATGGCTAGAGGTCAACGTCAGATTGGTGTTGGAGCGTGTGGACAAGCAGGATCCAGTAGTCAAGGAATACCAGACAAAGTCAGTGCTGAGATGAGATAATCCGTTGTTTGGATGATTACGTTAGATCAGTTTGTCTGCATGACTGGAGAAAATTTATCAACTGCACAGCACCTCATTGCAGTCTGTTGCATAAAGCTACCAGCCTTAAGATCGCATCAGATGTCAACTTTTTTCATAATTGGGCATCCTTGACGTTCAGTGACCACTCAAGCAGTTGTAGTCATGAAGTGTTTTAGACATCTGCACTTGTAAGTGGGACATGATAGGTTCGAGTCTCACCAAGCATGCTGTGAAGGTTTGTTTTGCAGGCTCTCAGACAGGTTTTAATGCAATGAGTCAGCAAATGGCAGGTCCCAATATTAACCCTGCGCGCCAGTTACTCTTGTTTTTTTATCAAATCATTTGCGCTGTCCTTTTTGGACAATGGTGTCGCAACAGTGTGGTGGGTTTTTGGAAAACAAAAATTGTTCTAAGTGATTTTAAATTCCTACATGGATGTCCTCTGCACCCTCAAACCATTAAATCTGCAAAGAAACCTCTGGAAAACATAGTAAGCTTGTACCCGACTGCTGTTATATCCTTCAGTGACAAGCCACGCTTAGATTATACCCTCCTCTGCTGCCAAGACATGTCTAGAATTACCCAAGCACGTGCCCTCTGGATAGCCACAAAGCTTCAAAGAGGCTCGGACAGCTCTAGAAGGTTGTTTATGGGTCACAGACAAGGCCTGGGCAAGCCAGGCAGCTGTTGATGTATACAATCTTTGATGTGCCATCTGGAAAATGTTTGTACACATTCCCTTGGGAATTGGCCCGACTCCGGCTGGAGTATATTTTTTTCTGGCTAAGGGGAAGCCCCTACGTTTACCGTGACTCAACCAGGCTGTTCAGCATGAACAGAGGCAGGCTATCACAGGAGGTTTTTATAGTTGATCGTAAAAATTTTTTAATCAAATAATTAGCAAAAAGGCCATCCAAAAAAGACGGAGGGCCCTTTGCATTTCCAGAAACGCCCACCACAGTCATCGTATCCCTGAATGTGACTGGTTCTGCTTAATTAGAGGGAAGCAACTGGTGACAAAAATATCTTGCCTTAGGGCATGCACACCTCAGCGTCACAAATGGATCATTGGTCTGAAATATGTATCTGTGTGAGCAGTGGATGGATCATAATATCAGCGTGATTTAAATTGGTAATTATCTATTTCTCTTCAGGAGGCAGATGAGATATCGCGGTACTCCACGGAATGTCCTCCGTCACATCATCCTCTCGGAGATCAAAGAAGCAGTCGTATCACTTCCCCCAGAGCTGGCCAACAGTCCCGTCTTGTCCTATGACCCAGTGCCTCCTAAGGATTCCATCATCTCCTATCACAGACCCCCAACGTATGCAAATTAAAATTCCCTTTAGAAGGCTTTTGTAAGTCTTCTGAAAAGTGCTGTTGGTGCCAATTAGTTAATCAGATAAATGTCATCATTTGAAATCTAGTTTGGTCTAAGACCCTAATCTTGTATTATTAAAAAAAAATCCACAACCAGCATTTGAGAGGAATTTCTGAAGAGTGTTGGAGAGGAATTTACAAGCTGTACATAGTTATCAACCTGTAAATAGAGGGTTTGCATGGCTGCCATCTTGCAGGCCAGTGCTTTTGTTCCACCTGGTATGCACAAGGGTGTATGTTGTACTATGACTATATTTAAATCTAAATCCTCCAATCAAACCCTGAACCATTGTTAGATCTCTCTGGCAAGTTAAGCATCCAGTAAGCTCACATTTGTCACATGTCAGTGGTTATTTACTTTATGTCATACAATGCACAAATTATGAAATTCTCAAAAGAAGAGGAAACACTGTCAATTGTCACATCTCTACTCTTTTGCTGCCTAAATGGTAACCTTTGTTTGATGGAATTAATGAGCCAGTTCAGGCCTTGCATTCTAACCACGCATACCCAAAATCAGCAGTGTCTGAGGTTATTCAGGAATAGCAGTAGGCCCAGGCGAGGTCTGCCGTACCAGCGCAGCCATATATCGACTCACACGCACACACTCTGTTTTCAAACGACCTTGGCTTTTTAAAATACGGAACTGGTTCATTGACAAAGGTTGTAAATCAAGTCTGTACAATGGCAAGTTGTGGGCCAGTGTCTAGATGCACAGAAATTCTTAGAGATGTTTACATTTATTTGCTTTCCAGACAACACAGAGCCAGCAGCCTGCGTGCAGACAACAACCCCTTTGCTGAGTTCTTCAGGTCATTGCGGCCGTCATATTTGCCTCCGGTGAGTTTTGCCCGCCTCTTTCTCCCCCATTCTCCACCCCCCCTACATTCACACCCTCCTCTCTCCCCAACCCCAAAATGTGGGATGGACATATCCTTTGTATTCGCACATGATCTTCCATTGAACATGCTTCCGTTTGTCTTTCCAAGTACACCATCAAAGAGTTGGTTCAGACACTTTGCAAACCTTTCATACAATCTTTGGTGGAATGTGGACTGACTTTCAAATGGTCTCTCTGGTTCTGAACTGTCTGGTAAGCTTTTTGCCATCAGTTGAATACACTGTACCTCTCAGTGGAGCTGGAGACGGTTACAAGGCATGTATCGTAAACCAAGGTAACTTTGGCACGAGCCACACCCCTTGGTTGTCGTCGCCATATCTTCCGAGCACCTTATATGAATTATATAGGATTCTCTCAAATGCTTCTATGAAAGTAATTTTTTTCGTGTGTAAAACCATGTTATAATCCTTTTTGATGTTTTTCATTAATTTCCAGCGACCTGCCAAAGTTGCCTCAAACCACGAGGTAACTTTGGTACCACTTAATTAAACTCTCACTCACAATTCAAAGAAGTGGATGGATGTTTGCTACTACTAGATTAAACTTAGGGCTTCATATGACAAATATATCCAATCAACAATGAAAAATAATTTCTGCTTTCGAAAAAGCAGAAACGGTCAGGATTTTAACCTGCTAAAGTTACCCCGGTTGGTGGTACTTGGGAACAGGCTAGAGAGCATGTTAAGAGTGGCACACTGCAATATCACTCTTTAAAACAGACTGAATGAATGCTTGAAATGCTTCAACTGAGAAAACTTAAAAGGCTCTGTCATGTTTATCACCATTTCTACAAAGTGATGAACCTTGCATGCTGATTTTAGACTTCCTTTGTCATAACAAATGCATTTCCACATTAGCATATGCTGTTCCCCATTCTATGAAAACTGTCATGTGTTTTGCATATTTGACCCACCATCCCCAAACCAGGCTGAAGTCGGTAACTTGGATGCTTGACAATTCCTATATTTCGCCTTTTTTTCACACTTCAAATGATCTATGTCAAGTCTAAAGTCTGTCTGCAGTAAGGTTTATGTGGATAGCGATAGCTCTGAAACTTCCACGAAGACATGAACAGTGGAATTTTCATATTTTCAGGGAAATAAAGTTACCTTTTTTTTCAGCCTTGATTTTGACTTGACAGTAGGACAATTTGTTTAATGCGCAGGATTTTTTTATTTCAAGCAAACCATTGATTATAATGCTAAGAGAGTTTCAAAACCAGCTTGTAAAAGTGTTAGCTTTGTCAATGTTGTGTAGTTTGAAAAACAATGCACATTTTTGTCGCATATCTGGCAAATCAGCTAATCGACCATTCTGGTGATTTTCAGATTTTATCTCACAAGCTGACGAACAGGTTTGACAGCAGTATCCAAACAAAAATACAAATTAGGAAATGGTTTCAAAGACCAATTTTGTATCTTTCATATTCAGAGATGAAAAGATGGTTGAATTAAGTATCAAAAATGAGTACACAATAATTGTTTAACTGAAAACGTGTTTTTCTCGAAAACGGTGATATTTCATATTCCTTTGTTTGTCAGATATGCACCGTTTTATTGCTCATAAGTAGCTTAAAACTCACTGTGTTGTGTTTTGAAGCATGCCCTGTTGTTACAAAAATCTCTAATTCAGCAGTACCGGCAATTCACAATGCAGCACACCACCAAGAGGTTGTCACAGGGAGGCCTTTTTGCAGTGCATTATGGGATGAATAGTCAACAAAGTCCCGTTTGCTAACTGCGCCGTGCGCAGAAAACTCTAATTTTTTTCAACTGTTTGTTTATCTTGGTTAAAAATTCGAAATAGCTTATTGTAGTTGGGTGTTAGGCAGTCAAAATGAAGGTTATGTGTGGTGCAGGGAATGCCTCAATCAATCAAATATCCCCAAATTACATACAAAGTGCACTTAATCATAAATTTGAAGTGGCCTGTCTGCGACAAACTCTTAGTGGCGTACTGTCTTGCGAATCGCTCCTATTTGAGGGGATTATCCTTCAGCTGGTCAAAAACACATGATTCACAGTACCTCCGCTAATAATCATTTGATATTGATATATCTCTGAAAATTAGCTAATATCTTTTTTTTTCAAAATGGCAGCATACCAGAAGCAATAACTGTCAGAAATGCATAAAAATAAACAATAGTTTAGTTTCATTGCTTTGAAAAATGTGATTGCCGAGCTTTGGTTACTGAGTGAAGGTACTCAGTTACCGAAAGCTCGGCAATCACGTATTTCAGAGCACTGATTTGATATTATATTCTCGTCGATATTTTGATCACGGTGCTACGCAGCCCTTCCATATTTCTCCAGTTTAGTTTCATTGTTGTTTTTCAAACAAGCATGATTTTTGACAGTAATTTCTTCAGTTGATTTTGGATGTTTGCAAATCTTCCATACTGCCCTCAGAGCTTACTGTCTTCTGATGATTCATGTCTTTCAGCCTCCAGGAGCAATACCTCCCGAACCAGCTGATTTACCTGCTGCTGATGAACGTGCTGGTGCAGCAGGGGGCTTCCTAGCCCCTAACACGGACCTACGCCAGAGCTTAGGCTCTTTGATGGATGCAATGAGGGACCTCTTGAACAGCCTGAGACCACCGGACGCTCAGGGGGAGGAGTTTGAGGAGGAGGAGGCTGAAGAGTTTGATTAGCGGCAATCGCGGAGGGCACAGAGATTGGACAGGACATCTGTGCGGATGGTTTTTCAATGCAGTGTCAGATTTTGGAGACTTGACGGGAGCATGACCATGCAAGGAGTGAAGGATGTCTAATCAGAAGTGATTGATTAAGGTCTGATAGGAAGAAACTTATGTCTACAGAGAGTCCCAGATCACCGCATCGGACTGCAGTCCCAGTGCCTGCTATGCAAGAAGTGTAATGCTATATACAGCACTTTCCAATATACCAGTGATTGACAATTATTACCCCTTTCCTCAAGAAAGAGCAGCTTGTATCAACACAGGTATTGTCTCTGCCCTCACAGGTACCCAGTTATACGCCTTGGTGGGGAGAGGCAAGTAGGGTAGAGTGACTTGCCCCGGGTCACAGCATGTAACCATTGGGTGGATTCGAACCTCAGACCTCTGATCAGAAGTCACAGGCCCTGGGCCCTAGACCACACGCTCCTGCGTGGCTTCTGACTAAAGGAGGGGACAGCGAGGGGAAATTGATGGAAAGGAGCTCTGAGTTTGTGATTCGGCACCGCCACCAAGATTAGCAGATTTGGCAGGAGGGGGATGATTCAGAGAGCAACCTTCCGATCTTGACGTCAGACTATAAACGAACACAGCAGGATGAGGTTCATGGATGTAATGCCCATGTTTTCTTTCTGTGACAATCTTAGAAATGATAAGAAGTAATGCCTAAAGTGCTTTCCATCACGTTAAAAGCTGAAGTGTTAAATCCAACACTTATGTTAGTTTGGTCAGTGACAGCACTTTGAAAGTAACAAATCCAGCATTTTAAATGCAAAATCCAGTATTTCATACATGTTGAATTTAACGTGTAGCGTTAATTCAACAATGTACGCTGTTATTTCCACATTTTTCAAACATTTTCCTTAAAATAGGTGAATCCTATTCATCTTCATATATTATGGATATTCAAATTCATATAAGTGTTGGATTCATTTTGTCACTTCTAAGCAGGACTGATAACTTCAAAGCACTTTACAAATAAATACCCTGTGCATCAGGTAAGACCAGTGGGCAGCCAGCATCCATGCAGGTGTCTTTGCCTTCAGAGGTATGCATTTACACCCCTGAGCGGAGAGAGGCAAGGCAAGTTGGGGTAAAGTGACTTGCCCAAGGTCGCCACTCGGTGTCAACTGCTAGATTCTTCTGACCAGTAATCAGGAGTCACTAATCCTAACCACCACAGTGCACTTGGCCACACGCTAAACCCTCGTGTATAATATGATATGAGGCCATGGAGAAGTTTCATGTAGTTTTAATAGTAAAGAGCCAAAGCTCACAGATATTTGTCCAAAGTTTGCGGAAAGTTTGTTCTTGGCTTGCAATTCGTTTTTTTTTTCATGAAGCACACATTTGTCCCATTTAAGGTGAAGGGGAAAGTAATTTAAATTGTAGTATTTATCATTGAGTGTTTGAATGAGTTTGAAATTCGAGAATTCTTTTTGTTGTGGACTGATGGCCAGTCAGCATTTTGCTAGTTACTAATAGACAAACACTGCAAATGAACATGGGTCTGCAGCAGAGCCAAGTATGGAAAAAAGTGAAGCCTCGATTTGGTCACCAGTAGCTTTGTTGCTGCTTGTTCCCCCCCTCGCCCCCCCCTAACATAATTAAATATTCGCAGTGATCAAGTATTTCTGTGGACGGGAATCTCATCCTTTCCGCATATTAAACTGTGGAGAGTCGATCATGCTTTATGGTTGGACTAATTATCCGCTTAAATGGCAGTGTAATGCAGTGGGGGAAGTATTGAAGGCCAAGTCGGTAAAAGGGCTCTTTGTATAACCAGTCATGTGCGCAATGCTTGGAGATTATGAAACTCCGGGGGGAAAATTCGCCAAGTTTTTCTTGTGCAGTCATCTGTAGAGCAGTTGAGGGAGGCGAGACTTGCCTTAGATTGCTTTGAGTTGGGGGAATCTGGCTTTCTTGACCTGATTGATAAAAAGAAATCAAAACCGATACAAGATGAGTTTATAGATCTGCTGAGAGAGGATTTTGATTACGGCTATTTCTTTAACAAATTTGGCAGAGTACTGGACAAGTGTTTCATCAATCACAAGACAGATCCAAGACTCTGAAATAAATGTTAGTTTTGCAAAGCTATAGTGTTTTTGCAATACTGAGCTTTTGATTTACATAACTATTCAGGAATAATGACTTTTGGGAACACACGTTTGTGACACTAGGTTTTGTCTGAAAGCGAATCTCTATGGCAAACGAGCCCGACAAATGTCAGCCACGCCCACTCTTCTTTCAAAGACCCCTGGCTCTCACGCGGCTAATGAAGTTCGATCAGTGGGGTATGATCAGCCTTGATTATAACGATATCCATCTGTGCATTACTGATATTAAGTGCATGATCTTACCAAGTTAGACCCAGGCAGACTTAACCTATATATTTTTTCTTCTTCTTCCAAGCCAGACTCGTAATAATATTATTGTAACGCCGCAGATAAACATCGAGTTCAAATGCAAAGACTTGAAAGAGTCCGTGAGTAAATCTTTCTGTCGGCGCGGGATGGATCAGCGCGGCGGTGGCGGTACGTCGGGGGCCCGGCCGACTGTCCTCCCCCCCCCCCGCAAACCCCTTTGCCGGCTGGGGATCATCCTCTGTCGGCAACCCCTTTGAAATCAACGTCGTCTTGGGACCAGCATTCATCACGGGGCGTTTAAGATAAATTGCTGCGATGGCTCACGTTGTGTACCCTGTAATACACCCGTAAATATTTATAACGACACGGGTACATGTACTCTGCTTTCTTCGGCCGACGAGCTTCAAAGGACGAGCCGACTGCATGCGAAATGAGACGGCCAAGAGTTTTCAACTTGATCATTTATATTATGCACTATACTCCCCTCTAATCAACTGACATTACGCGTATGAATAATTACTCCGGGCTCTTAAGCTCCTTAAGCCTTGTTCTTTTGAATTCTGAACTTACGAACGATGAGTTGGGACTGTTTTCCCGGCAGGTGTTTTCAGTGGTATTTTTGTAAGGATTATGTGATCGCATGTTGCATATTACATCTTTAAAAAGAGATGCAAGAACCATTGTTCTTCATGAAGAACCTCTCTGACTCAGTGGCTCGATTATGTTGAAGGGGGGAGGGTTCTGAAAGATCTCTGTTTACAAAATCGAGACTTCACTCTTGAAGCTTGAAGATATTCTGTCCTGAGTCAGTGCTCAGTCCTCTGGTCTTCCACAGCGCATCCTGTATTTTGTTTAGGTTCTCCCCTGCCACCTGTTTTCATTTTGCCCTTGAAATTATCTCTCACTGAATTGGTCTCTTGCGAGGCGGTGTCTCGCGAGGCAGCAACCGTACAAGGTTTTCCGATTTGGACGAGGCCAAGTAGAGCGCGCCTGCCGATAAACCAGGCCAGCTTGATCGATGGTAACACGCCAGTCGATCCCACCGTAGCGGTTCAACCGTGGAGTGGGTCAACGAGGTTCAGACTCGACCAGAGCAGCTCCATCAGACGAGCAGAACGCGGTAAAGCCGCCACGCCGTCATTACAGCCCGTCCTCTGCTGCACATCGGCGGCGTCCTTTGATATTCATTCTGCCAAATTGTCTTAGGCGGCGCCTGTGATCTTACCGGCTCCTTAAATATTTATTGTCTCATCTTTTTTTATAGAGTAAATCATTGGCAGCGGCACGCGAGGGCGAAGCCTAGCCAGAGCTGGCCTGGCGAGGTTGGTGACGGCGGCAATTTTTAGCATCACACGGTTTGGAGGAAGGTGGATCAGTGTAATCCTCATCACAGACTTTCAGCGAGAGTCCTCGACGTCCCGCGCCGGGAGTGTGATTTACCCATCTCCTACAGATCTAATGACCTTCCTCTGGTCAGGCTTCGTGGAGCTTAACAACCCTAAATTATTCACATCAAATACATCATGATGTTCGTCAGTGCAGTGGCCGACCCACTTTCAGGAGCAATTTGCCTTCCAGTTCGGTTGAGAGAGCAATCCGCTTTGGAGTTATATAAACAACTCGAGTGCCTCCTATGTCTCTGGTGAATGCTGCGACAGAAAAATTCTACATTGTAAAAAAGGCTTATCATCAACTATTGAAAGTAACGCCAACTTTCAGACTTCGGAAGACTTTGGGCGGAACATTGTGTTCAAATGAACTCTGTCGGTGAAGGTTAAAAACATTCGAACTCTTTTATAACCTTTTAAAAGTAATATGCAGTCCATTACAAAAGATGCTCAAGAATTCCCTAAAAAAGGTCTGAAGAATTTCCCCTAGTTTTTTTTACCGATGTGAAAGGCAAAATTGTTACGTTTTGTCTTAATCACCAAGTGTAACACTTCCCTGGAATGAGGCCAGATAGGCCAACACCCTCCTCGAGCAGTTTCGCGTGCCTTTCGGATACTTGGGCTGCATCCGAATCTCTTGTCTAGAGCTAGGTCTAGGTCTTCGCTCCATTGGAAATGCGTGGAGACGCAAAGACAATAGACCTAGCCGTATCTCTGGAAGCCCGTTTCGTGCCAAACGTAGTCAAATTATCGTGCACTTTTGAGCCTCCTGTTCTAGTTCACGTAAATGCATACCCGTATGCGAAGATCCGAAAGTAGCACAGTTCGAATGTAAACTTATGGATAGGTTTGCGGTAACGTGCTTTTCTTTTTGAGTATATGGGGTTCTGAAAGAACTGGTGGCTCGAATGCATTCTCAAACGTCGAATGCATGAGGTTGACGGTTCAAAAGTAGACATATGAAACTACATTCTGACATTCTGTCCGTTCCTGCACCCGACGACTGGATGTCTACGTTCTGTTTTTTTTTTATTATTTTTTTTTATTTTGTTGTTGCTTTGTTTGTTTTCCTTTGTTCCAAAATAACTCCAGTTAAAATGCACTCGGATTTTAATAATACGTGTCTGATTTTCAAAAAAATCGCCTAGTGTTGAAACACGCACTTGAAGTTTTAAATGCACATTAAAATATTTAAAAATCTATTCTTTTTAAAGTATGCGTTTAATTGTTGTAGACGCTACATGCAATTCTGCTTCACAGAGAGATGTTTTTCAGATTCGACAGGTGAACGAGTGCTTGCCGAGTTGAATGTGCGGGCCTGAACTTCTAATTTTGGAGAAGACGCGCCCTCTGTTGGTGAAATTCGTATTCAGCGTCTATTTTGATTAGTTGCATTATTTTCATTATTGCTTACTATAAAATAATGCATTTGAGAAGTGCAATGAATAATTTCGTGCCTCATCAGTATGACACTGGTTCTTTCAACGGATAAAAATTAATTACGGACATGTAAAGAAGCGGCATGGTTATAGGTACAACGAACTCTTTCCTTGGTTGCTACTGAAATTACCATTTAAAGGTTGATGGTGAAGTATTTGTCTCGATTTTACCCATATGAAGTCTATTATGAGTCCCGAGGTAGACCAAGAAAGAGCGTAATTTCCTTATCAGCGAAGGCCCCCTTGGTCGGAAACTGCACTTCGCTGGTTCACAAACAACTATGAAACGCACGCGTTACAGTCGCGTCGCTGCCAATAAAATGAACACTCCCAACCAACGCGGCTGGCTCTTTTCAATCGATGAGGGGGTGCTTCTGCTTACGGTGGATAGATTTGGTACCAATTCTTTGGGATAGGCACAGATGACTATGGAATTCCATATCTGCCGTCGTCCGTCGCCTTTTGCTTTTTGTTGTGTCTCAATTTTGCCATTTACCAGTTCCAAACATGCCATTTTCCGTCGCCAGTCGTGCGTCGCCCATCAAATGGGTTGCATAGGACCTGCAAAAGCCAGGCTTTAACAAATGACAATGTGATGATTCCATTCACTTCTAAGGATCTTTTCCCAATAAGGCAAGTACAAATCCCACCAGTAATAATACTAGTCCCATAATTAATGCCAATAATGCTAGACTACCCCTGCCCCTTGACAAGAAAATGTCTTCTTTCTGAGAATTCAACCAAGTGTTTTTTTTGGGGGGGGGGAAACATGTTCAGCAAAAATGTTCAGGCCAACTTATCCACAGTCTAATTCTAATTTGCATACTGAAAAAAATGTGCCAACTTGTTTTCATCAAATTCGAGAAAGAAATCTGCCAACTGATACAGATATTCCATTTTGTCCTCTCAATTTCACCTTGAAATCCATAAATACTAGACAGTGCTGTGGATAGCAAACTGCTTATTAAATGCATTGTAAGGGGGCAATTACCACTTGATTTAAGTTTCAGAAAATGTGACGTGTTGGTTTTTGTGGGTTTGTATGCCATGGTGGATAGACCAATGAGAACAGGTTGTCCAGCACATCAGCATTATTTATGGGGCTAACAAGTAACGTTACTGTTTAAAAGACTTCTGTGAGCCTACCTGCAACTCAAGTCATGTCTAATTTGGAGTATACAGCAGATTTCATCATAGGTATACCGACCCTCAAAAAAATGTTGAATCAGTTCGTCTCTTATGAAAACTATTAAGGAATCAAACATTGTAAATAATTTATTACTTACATTCAGTTCTGTGGAATACCGTGCAGGGACGGACAGAAATATTATATATAGACCTAACGTCAGGCCGTTAACGAGTAAAGTTACGTCTAGAGTAACTAAGTTATCGAGAAAAACAATCTACCCTAACAAAAGTCCATTTTGTTAATTTATTTATGTAACAAAAATGGTATTATTTCATATACACGTCACTTTACCGATGTCAGGATATTATTTCTTCTTTCAAGTGGAGTTCGGCGCAACTGGAAAAACGAATACATCTTCTACTTCTAGTTCTACTGCTAAAATGAAAGTCAGGCATGGTGGATCGATCGAACAAGTATGTGAAACGATCAAGGGTCAAAGTTAAAAATACCACTGCGCAATCATGACAAAAAAACCCGGAAGATATGGAATTCCATAGCTGATAGCATGGGTTTCTATTAGTGTTTTCAACGTGCATATTTTAGTTCGTGGACTGCAACTTCTTGTAACGATAAAACGACGTACAATTTTCGGGTACGATTCTGCGCTGAACTATAATAACACGCTTAACGGTCAGTCCGCCGCTTACACTTAATTTTAGTCCCAGTTCTTTGCGCAATTACATATCTTCAAACCAATTTCCCCACTTCAGA